AAATTTCAAAGGACTGGCCTGTAATTATGGAATCCCAAGATAACCCAACCTAGAAGCAACACAAAAGTTAAATACGGGCCTTACAGAAAAGCCCAACTGGAAATGCCTTAGCCCAGGCCTAGCCTATTATTTGAAAACCAACTCTGGACGCGGACTCGAGGTTTTTATGCAGCAATCTATAAACTTTATATATAACATTTGTCAAGTTACATGGGCCATGGGGCAGGTATTTTTCCCTAACAATAGCAAAGCTACAAATTCATACCCCAAGTTTTAACAAGTCAAAACTGGTCAAAGAGAAATTTTCTTGGACGGAGACTAACGAAGGGTGGAACGTTGAAGCTTTCCAGAACTTGGGGTATGAATTGTATTTTTGTGATAGTTAGGGTGGGTAAATGTCAGCCGGCTATCTTTAAATCACATGATAGGCACGAAAGCATGGCAATAAAGACTAGAGGTGGAACAAATGGGTCGTGTTAGGCGGGTCAACCCTAACCCCGTTTGCATTCAAGAGGGTTCAACTCGGACCGCCAAGAAGGCCGGCCGGGTTGAACCCAACCCACCAGCTACCCCCAGGCGGGCCGGGTTGAGAAATGGCAACTCGATGACCCGCGGGTTGTTGTTTTGTCCTTTCTAGAGAGAGGACCACCAACCCGTCGGGTTGGCCGAAAACAAATAAAAAAAAAATTATTTTGTTTTTTCTAATTACCTTTTTACCCTTAAAATATAGTCATTTTATAACCGTTGGAGGGGTCTTTTTCGTCATTTTCTTTTCCCTTTTTTTTTTTTTTTCTATAAATTGGCCATAAACTCTCATCTTTTCTCACAACTCAAATTCTTTAATTTTCTCTAATCTTTAATCTCTCAAATCTCAATTATTCATTTATTCTCTTAATCTCTTTGTTATCATTTATCAATTTGCTCTCATTTTAATTTTTATTAGTTTTTGCAATTTTCAATTCATATTTCCAATTTTCCAATTTCCATATTCCAATTCTCTTTCTTTAATTTTTTATTTCTTCTACATCAATTTTTTTTTCAACTACAATGGATAGATATTTCTCTCCCATCAATATCAATGATGAAGAAAACTACTATCATAGTCCTAGTCCCGCTGATTTTACTAACATAAATGCAGGAGATTCAAATAGTCCCGTAGTTTTCCCAGTCTCAGAATCCGATACACCTCAAAATATGCCCTAGTTTCCTCCCTATACAGCTCCCGGTGGTTCTAGAAGTCGTCCTTGTAATCATCGTCCTCGTCCAACTTCATCTCAAGCTGAAGTGGATTCATCAACTGCTATCGAAAGTGATAACAGACACACATCAGACGTTTGGACGCATTTCGATAAGTTTTACAAGGTAGAAAATGAGTTCAAGTGAAGAAAGCAAGATGCAAGTATTGTGGAAATGTTTATAAAGCTGATTCAGGTAATGATACTAGTACTTTAAAAAGACATGCTAATAAACATATTACTCAACATGGAAATAGAGAAACCAATCAAACTCAAATAACTAATATGAATATTACTTGGCGTTATAATTCTGATGTATATAGGGAACAATTAGCTTTATATATTGCTGTAACTGATCAACCTATTAATATGGCTGAAGATAAATATTTTGAAAGATTTATTAAAAATTCATTTTTTCTAGGATTTAAAAGTTATTCTAAAACTGCAACTAGAAATGATTTAATAAAATTGTTTAAGAAAATGAAATTAGAATTAAAAAATAAAATACATACTTGTCATGTTAGTGTGGCTCTAACTGCCGATATTTGGAGTGGTAGAGCTAAACAAGATTATATTTATGTGACTAGTCATTATTTTGATAATGAATGTAAATTAAATAAATCTTTATTGGGATTTAGATTAATGGATGTTGATCATAGTGGTAAACAAATTTATAATAAAATTGTTGAAGTTTTAGAAGATTATGATATTGTTAGTAAAGTGATAAGTTTAACTTTAGATAATGCAAGTTCTAATAGTAAAGCTATAGATTATTTTCAAAGTAATTATCCTTTATATAACAATTTGAAGTTTTTTCACCAACGTTGTGCATGTCATGTTATTAATTTAATTGTGAAAAGTGGTATGAAAACAATTAAAGAAAATATTGATAGAATTAAAGATTGTTTAGCTTGGATTACTGGTAGTAATAAAAGAAATGCTGAATTTCAAGATGCCTGTATAAAATCAAATATGTCTCCTAGAACATTTGCATTAGACATGCCTGTTAGATGGAATAATACTTATTTAATGCTTGATTCATGTTTACCTTTTGCTAATTTAATTAGTTATTTTGTAGCAAATAATAGAGGTCTTCATTATTTGGTAGAAAATGATTGACAAATAGCTAAAGTATTTCATTCTTTTCTTAAAATTTTTTACCAATCCACTTTACAACTTTCTGGTGTGTATTATCCTACTAATCCATTGGTAATACATACAATTATAAAAATTTCAGAGTCATTTACAAAAAACAAAAACAATGAAATTTTAAAAGAACCAATAAAGGCAATGGAAATATTTTTTTTAAAAACATTTTAAACCAATTCCTTTTCTTTATTGTTTAGATGCCATTTTTTATCCTAGAATTAAACAAGAAGGTTTAGAAAATGGTTTAGAGACATTAACTGAAAATTTAAAAAACTTAGCATTTGTCAATCAAATAGGAGAGGTAAAAAATTGTCTTGTAGAGGTATATTTCCAATATGAAAACAGGTATGGGAACCCGCAAAGACACGAAATACAAAAGGAAGTTTCATTAGAAGAAACAAATGAAGACTTCTACACTTGGAGTGCATTTAATAGGCCGAAGAGAAACCGAACCCGAAGCACAGGCACAACCTCCTCTTCAGAAGCACCAATGGCAACAACGAATCTACTGTCCGCCATGCAGTCACAGAGTAATGAGCTTCAACAATATTTGGGAACTCTTGAAATGTTACAAACAGATCCATAACAAAGAGCCAACTTTGATATCTTGGAATATTGGAAAATCAGAAAATGTATTTTTCCGGTATTATCAAGACTTGCCTTAGATGTTTTTGCTGTTCCAGTCTCAAACGTCTCATCCGAACAAACATTTATTGCAAGTGGAAGAATTTTAAATGAAAGGAGGACTAAACTTTCATAAAAAATGATTGAAGTCCTCACATGTCTTCGAGATTGGGAACGGTCGCGCCATCAAGGTCAATACAAGGTTGCCGACGATAGTTTAATAGAATCATTTCAATTTTGTAATATAGATGATACGGATGAGGGAGGTCCTAGTCAACTCCAAAATTAGTTGTTTTGTAAATTGTAAATTGTAACTTGTAAATTAATTGTCAATTATTGCACTATTTTTTCCTTACCAAGTTTTTGTCCCATTGGGTTTTTCTTGGTGAGGTTTTTAACGAGGCAATAATTATTGTAATTTCTTATTTTATTTTTTGATAAATGAATAAATTTAATTTTTCTTATATTACAATTTTAATGTATTAAAATTGAATTAATATTTGAAATGTTAACAAAAAAAAAATTGAATTGAATTGAATTATTGATATTTGAAAAGAAGTTAACTAAAAATAATTACATTTATTCATTTATAAATTGTTAATTATTCATTTGAAAAGTTAATTAAACATTTAAACTTAAACAAAACAAAATAAAAAAAAAAAAAAATCAAAAAGGGGGTTAACCTAGCTTGACCTGCAGCCTAACCCAGCGGGTTAGGGTTAGCGGGCTGGGTTGGGCCAGCCAATTCCCCACAATTGGCAGGCCTAACCCGACCTACCAATGCTTGACCCACCCGCCAATTTGCGTAACTTGCAGTAGGTTGGGCCGGGCGGGTTACTTTTCCACCTCTAATAAAGACGGAGAGAAGAAAAAACAAAACTCACCTACATGTGAGCGAAAACGTATCTGACAAAGATAAATGAATGCCCAGTATTAATGAGGGAGACCTAGTACTGAATAGTGGTTGCCGTGACCTTTGTACCTCCGTCACGTGGTGGGCATTGTGTATTTGTGTGTAGTACCTATTCGTATGGTAATTCGAAATTAATTTGACAAGACTACATTGTGCCAAATCTGACTGACTCTATCCGATTGTTGACACGTATCATATGTTACGTGTAGCGTTGGCTGATCTCCTTCGGTGCCCACGTGCGTACAATGTGAACACTGGCCATCGAGAAGACTTTCTGAAATGAAAAATGCTACGGACACCAACGCTTTGCACTAAATTTTTATGCCAAAAAACGTGTTCATTGTATCAGACGAGCCACGTATCATGTTAACAAATATTCTGCGAATGAATAGCTGTCCATCAAATATAGACGACTGTCCATTATTATTGAACGACCGTTCATTTGAAATGGACTCACGTCCATATTATATGGACAGCCGTCCACCTAAAATAGACGCTCGTTCATAGTTTAAACTAAAAAAATTGGCCTAAATTATTTATGAGAATATTGAAAAATTTTAAAGTTTAAATTTATTTAATGCATTAATTTATTTAATGAATCCCAATTGAGTTGGTGTCTTATTTTTATGACACTTGTCCAATTACTTTTAATATAGACAAAAATTTAATGCCTTATTCTTATGACACTTGTCCAATTACTTTGAATATGGATAAAAATTTAATGAAGATGGCAATATTTACTTCTTGGATTGAGACTCAAATGTTGTAAATTTTTTTAAATCAAACAATAGACAGGCGTCCACCTGTCCATCTAAGATGGACGTCTGTCCATTGAATTAATTTTTTTTATAATTTTTTTATTTCAAACAATGGATGGACGTCTATTCTAGGTAAACGTCTGTTCATAGTATATGAACTCCCATCTATATAACATGAAAAACATGTTTATTACTATTCTCGATCGGCTACATCTATATAACATGAGCTTGAAGATTCTGTGAACTCACTATCTCTTGAAGCACAAAGCTATATTCAGCATTCTACACCATTTATTGTTTTTTCTTGAAAACAAATTTATAATGTCTTTTCACGTTTCAGCCGTTCCTTCTTCAGTCAAAAACAATGCCAAGGAAGAAACTAAACGTCGCTCGGCAGATTATCATCCTAGCATCTGGGGGCACCATTTCCGCTCATATGCTACTGATTTTATGGTAAATTGTTTCTTCTAATTTAATTTCCATGTACTTAGTGACTGCTTATTAAAAAAAAATGCTTTTGAGTATGTACAAAAATAGCTAATTATATAATTATGCAATAAATTTCATTTGAATAACATTATATATACAAACTATTCTTTGCAAACTGACGTGATAATCTTACATATTTGGTGAGTAAATTTTACAAAGTACCCCTGAGTTATGCGGAACTTAATTCTCTTCAATAACAACTAAGTCTTACATATTTTCTCACCAATTTATTTTGCTTGTTCAGGAAAATGATGATGATAAAGCAAAACTACTGAAGCTGAAGGAGGAAATTAAAAGCATGCCAATGGATGACGCAAACAAGTCTCTGCAAAAACTTGATTTGGTTAATGTAATCCAACGCTTAGGGGTCTCTTATAATTTTGAAATTGAGGTTAATGAAATCTTAGAAGACGTCTATAAGGCTCACAATGAAAGTGATACGGGAGATGACACTGATGACTTGTATTCCATCTCTCTTAAATTCCGCTTCGTTAGACAACATGGTTATAAAATCTCATGCGGTATATATTATATGTTCTTTATCCTCGGCAATTACTTTATTTTTTTATTTTTTTATTTTGTAAATAAATTCCTTAATTACGTTATTTAGATGTGGTGTGTTGTGTCGTGAATAAGCAGACGTGTTCAACGAATTCAAGGACAGTACTGGGAGCTTCAAGGCATCTCTTGCAAAAGATGTTCGAGGAATGTTAAGCTTGTACGAAGCCTCAAATCTCAGGGTTCATGGAGAAAATATACTAGATGAAGCCATTACTTTCACTATCAATCACCTTGAGTCGTGGGTAGCAACTCAACCTAGCTCTCCCCTTGCAGGGCAAGTTAAGCATGCCTTAACTCGACCTCTTCGCAAGAGTTTACCAAGGCTGGAGGCAATATATTACATGAGTATCTATCATGAAGAAGCTTCGCACAATGAAGTTATATTAACTTTTGCAAAGTTAGATTTCAACATATTACAGAAGTTACATCAGAAGGAACTCAGTGCTATTACAAAGTAAGTTAATAAATTTAATCATGATTAATTTCAAGCAGTTTTTCATTCTACTAAACTATCTAATGGTATCGCATTGCCCATTAGATACATGTTATAGAATTTTTATATTCTCCTTGATTAACTTAATTCTCCATTTATGTGATTAGTGTTAAACAATCCAAAGAAATAATAAAAAGAGGAGGCTAGGGTTTCATTGATACTGCACAATTCAATTGAATACAAAAAGTATGATTTAACCTAAATACAAAGATATATATAGGCTAAACAAAGGAAATAATGAAAAGACAGATCTACCCTTAATAAACAATAAAACAAAATAACCCATATTTCTTAACATCTCCCCTCAAACTCACGATGCGGCAGCTACAAGCATCGAGAGTTTGCCAACTAGAAAACGAAAACGGGAAATAGAATGCGACTTGGTAAAGAAATCTGCAATCTGCAAAGAAGAAGAAACAAAGGGCAAGGTAATGGTGCCATGCTTGAGATGATGACGAGTAAGTTGACAATCGATCTCAATGTGCTTTGTTCGTTCATGAAAAACCGAGTTGTGAGCAATCTGAATAGAACTCTGGTTGTCACAATACATAGGAGTAGGATGAGAAAAAGAAACGCCCATATCTGCAAGTAACCAACGTAACCAAACAATCTCTTTGGTAGCAGATGTCATAGCACGATATTCTGCTTCGGTTGAAGATTGAGAAACAATGGATTGTTTCTTGCTCTTCCAAGAAATAAGAGAATCACCCAAAAAGATACAGAAACCAGTAACAGACTTGCGATCCGTGGGATCACTGCCATGATCAGCATAAGAGTATGCACGCAGCTCCAAGGAAGAGGTGGATGGAAGTAAAAGACTCTGAAAGACTGTACCCCGAAGATACCGCAAAATACGAAGAACAGCTGCCCAATGAACTGTAGTAGGAGAAGCAACAAAATGACTAAAAACATGAACATCATATGCAATATCTGGATGAGTAATAGTGAGATATACCAAACTCCCAACAATAGTATGGTATAAAGTAGGATCTGACAAAGGTAAACCGTCAGAAGAAGAATATTTTGCATTAACCTCAATCGGAGTATCGACACTCATATTATCACTAAGTCTAGCCCGCTCAAGAATATCTGCAACATATTTCGACTGAGAGAGAAGATAACCTCTAGGTGAGTAGGCTACCTCAATACCCAAGAAATATCGTAGAGAAACCAAATCCTTAATTTCAAACTGTTGAGCTAACTCTGTCTTCAAAACTGAAATGCCATCAATATCATCACCAGTAATAATCATGTCATCAACATATAAAGACAGAATGATATGACCTGCATCGTGCACTTAACAAAAATAGCAGAATCATGACTACTAGAAGCAAATCCAAGGGAAGAGATCACAATAGAAAATTTCTCAAACCAAGCATGAGGTGCCTGTTTAAGACCATATAACGTTTTCTTCAGCTTGCAAACATACCCAGAATCATGTGAAACACCAGGAGGGGGCGCCATATAAACTTCTTCTTGAAGATCTCCATTCAAGAAGGCATTTTTAACATCAAGTTGAGAGATATGCCACTGACGAACCGAAGCTACTGCAATAAGAGTATGAATAGTAGTCATTTTTGCAACAGGAGCAAATGTCTCCTCATAATCCATACCATACTGTTGAGAGTACCCTTTTGCAACCAACCTAGCTTTGTATCGCTCAATAGATCCATCAGAATTAGTCTTGATCTTATACACCCAACGACAACCAACAACAGTCTTACCAGGAGGTAGAGGAACCAAATCCCAAGTACCTGTCTTATGCAAAGCAGAAAGTTCCTCATCCATAGCTTGCTGCCAAAGAGGATCAAGAATTGCCTCTTTATAGGAAGAGGGCTCAGAGAGACAATGAATAGAAGCTAAAAAAGAAGCAAAAGATGAAGAATAACAAGAATAAGCAAAATCTGGTAACTTTGTGGACTTACGAATGCGTATGGATTGACGTAGAGGTGGATCCACAATCTCAGACGAAGCTTGAGTGACCATAGGAGAAGAGGGAGCTTCAGGTGTGCTGGAGAGTAAAGTGTCAGTACCTGCAGAATGATCAGTACTAGGAACCTGAGATGACAAACTATCAGAATCCTCAGAAAAAGGATCTATACGAATTAGATCAGATCTAGTCAAGGTATGAGTAGTGGATGGAATAGAAAAGAAAGGTATATGCTCAAGAAAAACAACATGACGAGACACATAAAGTTTCTGAGTTATTGGATCAAAACAACGATACCCCTTTTTACCTTCACCATAACCAAGAAAGACACAAATAACAGATCGAGAGGACAACTTGCTGCGTTCTACATGAGGACGAAGAACAAAACAAGTACAACCAAAAACTTTAAAGGAAGAATAATCAGGGGCATACCCATACAACTTTTCGAAAGGAGAAAAACCTGAAATATGAGAAGATGGAATTGTATTAATCAAACCTACAGCAGTAAGAACAGCTTCACCCCAAAACACACTAGGAACAGAGGAAGACAATAAGAGAGAACGAGCAGTTTCAACAATGTGCCTATGTTTTCTTTCAGCCACACCATTTTGCTCAGGAGTATCTGTACACGAGGTTTGGTGAACAGTTCCATCTAATGCAAGCAACTCACAAAATTTATTAGAAGTGTATTCCCCACCCAAATCACACCTAAAACATTTGATAATAGCAGAATGTTGAGTTTTGACAAGAGCTCGAAAGGCTGTATATATCTCAAAAAATTCAGAACGATGTTTCATTAAATAAACCCAACAATAACGAGTATGATCATCAATAAAAGAAACATAATATCGAGACCCTCCTTTTGTGGCAACAGGAGAAGGTCCCCATACATCAGAATGAATCAAATCAAATGGAGAAGAAGAAACAGAAATACTTCGATTAAAAGGTAAAGCTGAAAATTTTGCCAGTTTACATCCACTACAATCAGAAATATCACAAGTTTGCAAATTTCCTAAAGCCCCTGTGGATGCCAAAAATCTCAAACGAGAAGACGAAACATGACCTAAACGAGAATGCCATAAATAAAAACTAGAAGAAGAAGGACTCAAACGAAAAGAAGACAAGTCAACACTAGTAGCGGCAGCATCAGCACTAGTAGCAGCAGCAGCAACTGGCACTTTTAACTCATCCAAAATATATAGTCCCCCCTTCCTACGGCCTGTCCCAATCAGCTTCTGAGACTGTAGATCCTGCACATAACAAGAAGAAGAGGAAAAGGTGACTAAATTACCAGAATCACATAACTGACCAACAGAAGCAAGATTTAATGTAAGTTTTGGAATATGATAAACATTAGAGAGAGACAAGTGAGGTGTGACAACAGAACCAACACCTGCTAAAGGCATAGGAGTGCCATCAGCAGTCATGACAGGAATAGAAGACGAAGGGGACACAGAAGCAAAAGATGAAGAATCTGGAGACATATGATGTGAAGCACCAGAATCCAAAACCCATACAGAATGTGACATACCTGAAGAACTATGAGGTAACTGACCTACGGAAGAAGAAGCAGACATAGCTTGTGGCTGTAAGGAGAGAAACTTCTGAAATTGCTCAGCCAGAGTACTAGGATCGGTGAAAGGACCTGATGAAACTACTGCTGCAGTATTAGACTGTGGTGGTTTGTAACCCTGAGGTGGTCTATGAGCATTAGATTGTGACTGGTTGCCAGGCTTCCAAGCTTGAGATTGCTGCTGCGATTGATTCTGCTGTCTCAACTTAGGACACTGAGCCTTCCAATGACCTTTTTGCTTACAGAAACTGCACTCGTCGAAGGCAACCCTTGTGTAAGGTTTATTCTGATTATTAAAGACTGGCTTCGAAGGTACTGCTAACACAGAAGGATTAGAAGTCGAAGCAGAAAGAATTCCCTTTTCAGAATGAGACTTAAGACGTATTTCTTCAGCCAATAACTCACTGACAACTGAGTCAACAGAAGGCATTGGAGAACGATGCAAAATTGAACCTCTAAGTCCTTCAAAATCACTACGAAGTGCCGTTAAAAACTGTACCAACCGTTGCTGCTCCCTATGAGCAATATAGGCACCACATGCTTTTAATTCTGCAGATTCTGTAAGAGCCAATTGATCCCAAAGATCTGTCATAGCAGAATAAAACTCATGAACACTCATATTCTTCTGCTGAAGAGCTCGTATGTCATTCTCCAATTGATACTGCTTTGCAAAATTTGACTGAGTAAATAACCTTTGTAGATGATCCCAAACCTCTTTTGCTGTCTCATACTTCGCTAACTGTGTACCTATGGAATGCCCAACAGAATTATTAATCCAAGTAATAATTTTTGCATTGTTTGCTTCCCAGGCATCTATCAAAGCATCATAACCCTCCTCAGTATTCTTAGGTTTCACAGAAGTTCCACTAACATATCCCCACATCTTTTTACCCTTAAGAAAATTTCTCATCACATAACTCCAATACGAATAATTCTTGTCATCTAACCTCACACTTACAGACTGAAGCGAATCGTCTCTTTCAGTAGCCATATTCAAAAAACAAAGAAAACCAGAATGCAAAAGAGAGGAAAACGAAATACCAGATTGCCGAAATTGAATGAATACCCTTTCCAAAAATTTGGATCCGTGCAAGCTATGTTTAAGATTAAGCCTCGTCCCATGAAATTTTGCTCTAATACCATGTTAAACAATCCAAAGAAATAATAAAAAGAGGAGGCTAGAGTTTCATTGATACTGCACTATTCAATTGAATACAAAAAGTATGATTTAACCTAAATACAAAGATATATATAGGCTAAACAAGGAAAATAATGAAAAGATAGATCTACCCTTAATAAACAATTAAAAAAAAACCCATATTTCTTAACAATTAGGTGGTGGAGGGATTTAAACTTCGCCCAGGAGCTACCTTTTGCAAGAGACAGAATTGTTAAGTGTTACTTCGGGATATTGGGAGTGTATTTTGAACCGGAATATTTAATGGGTAGAAGATTTTTAACC